CAGGACGCGAGTGGGCTGAATGGAGTCAGAACACATGTCTGAACTTCACACATTTACATCTGATGTAAATGCTGGAGAACTCGGCTCACGGACTACATCCCCTCGCTACCGTGCCAAACGGGGGCAGTTTGGAGGCTGCCCCGTCCCCTTTATGCCTGAACTGGGCCCTCTCAGGACTCCCAAGGGTGTGGGCTGGGGCTGGGAGGCTCTGCGGAGGTGGGTGTCAAGACTACAGAACAGTGGGTCGGGGGTCCAGCCAGGTCAGCGGGCCTGCCCCCCACCCCCCCGCCACCCCGCCCGCCCCGCCCCGCCCCACCCCACCCCACCAGCCAGTTACAGCCTTGAAGATTGCAGCGGCCTCTCGCCGTCCTGGCCAGGCTGGCCACGTGTGACCAAATCTGCCATGCCTTGAGTAACCAACTGGCTTTTTGTTTCACGGGAGCTGGTCTGGGCTCCCGGTAAGGAGGGCGATGGAGGGGGTCCCTGTGCAGCCCGCCCACAGCCACCCAATCCGTCTGAATCCTCCTGGAGTTCTGGTCCCTCGCCGATCTGACGGGGACTCGCCGTGCGGCCCTGTGTCCAACTGGACACATGAGAGTGTGAGTCTCCCGACAGGGCAGATCCCAGGAGCTGGGGCCCAGGGACGTGGCACCCGGCGCAGGGAGGAGGGGCAGCAGAGAAGGGGCTTTGACATCTCCTACCCTGGCTTCTGCTCAGAAGCCTCCTCCCTGGAGGCTTCTCTGCTCACCTGGCCCGGAGGCCTGGGTGTTGCGTCATTCGTCTTCCTCTGGTGCTGTTTGTCGCAGAGCACTTGTCGCTGCAGCCCCCATGTTTCTGCCATCCTCGGGGCTGGTCAGGGAGCTGCATGGGGCCATGGCATCCCAGACTAGCGGGGGGAGGGGGCGGCTTGTCCGGTGGCTTTGGGACCCCACCAGGCCTTCTGCACCCTTCAGGGGTGGCAGGTGGGTGCATCCCTGACACTTAGGTGGTTCTGTGATCATTTGTCAGAGAAGGGGGTATAGCCCCCTCCATGCACCCCCAGGGAAGCCCCTGTGAATCCCTAGGCTGAGCCTCTGGGGAGGCCGCAGGGACCCTTGGTGGATTTGCTGTGGCACCTTCCTGGGCCCCAAGGAATCGCCAGGTGAGGGACAGCGGGGCCCTCAAGCTGGGTGGGGGTAGAGTCTGGCTCCGCTGCGTCCAGCCTGGGTCCTGGTGTGTGTCCCCAACCCCGAGTCCTGTCATTGCTGGCCAGAGGATGAGGAGACAGGGTGCTTAGGCATGTGAAGGGCCCAGCCCTGGCCCGGCCATTGTCCTTTTTCCCTGGGGCAGCGGTGTGGGGCCCAGAGGAGGGCCCTGCCCGCATGTGGCTCCAGAAATCCCTTCTGCCACCTCTTGTGAACCTCACCTTACTCTCACCGTTGGGCAGGGGTCAGGGACCCTGTTTTTCAGATGAGTATTCTGAGGCCCAGGCTCACCCCTGCCACCTCATCCTGCCCACCTCCATCTGTCGTCCTCTCTGGAGGCCCGAGTCATCCGGCCTCTTGGTGCCCCTGCCAGTGGTGGGCACTGAGAGGACTCAGCCTTTAGCGACCCCCAGCCTGTCTGCCTGGAGCTGGTGCGTGGAGCGGCCCTGCTTTCGTCACCGGCCACTGTCCCGGGTCTGAGCAGGGGGCCCGAGTCAGGTGCCCGGAGAAGGGCACAGGAGGCCTGATTTTTAGAGGAGAAGCAGCTTTGGAGATGTGCTGGCGTTCACTGGGAGCCCTGGGGACTGGGACGGGGTGGCAGCAAGGGGGCCGAGACCCCTGGACTCCCGGCGGGAAGCAAAGGAGCCTTTCAGGGGCACTCTCCTCAGTGCCACCTCCGTCCACTTCCTTAGCTGGTACCCGGGGTCCCCAAGGCAGGTCCCTCCTTGCCTCTCGCAGGGGCCGTTGTGGCCCGCGGCCTACAGCTGGCTGTGTGCCCGATGCCCCCTCGCCGGCCGGGCTGGGCCGCGGAGCCAACCTCTCACCTGTCTGCGGCCCGGGTCTGACACCAGCTCCCACCCAGCCCTGGGGCCGGGGCATAAACAATTTCAGCCCCGCGTCCCCAATTGGTTTGTGGTATTAAAAACGAATTGCGATCAGCCAGGTTGTCATTTCTGCCTGATAAAACATCACTTGTATTGATCTCCCCCACCTGCTGCCATCATTTATCCTGCTTCGACGCTTCACATAATGGCTCGTTTGTCTTGATCAAAGTGTAGTCCTGCACGTTTAACCCTCGGGGCTCCACTCGTGTCCACCCCCTTCCCTCGCTTGGGCCCTGTTCTGTGGGGTAGGAGGTTCTAGAAGGCAAGGGCCACCTTGAGTTACGGTGGGGAATGGGAGGCGACAGGGAGGCAGCTGGAGGGGCTGGGGGATGGGAGGAGGTGGTCCCCGCCTGCTGTGTCCTTGAGGTCACCTGCCCACGTTCCCGGTTCCGTGGCGACCCCCCCTCCCTTCCCCTCCCGTGGTTTCCCGCCCTCAACCCCCCTGAGTCCCTGGCCTGGCCCCGTGCTCCTGGCCCCCCACCTCAGGCCTTTCTCTGGGCACCAGCTCCTTCCCCTCCCCGGGGCTGGGCTGGCCCCTCTAACCCTGACCCAGGGCTGCAGAGGCAGTGGTCCCAACCTGATTGTGGACCCTCTGCCTACGGCCTCGGGTGCGTCCTGCTGTCCGGGAGACTCCATCCTGCGCTGGGGTCACGACCTGGCCTGTGCAGAACTCTGGCTCCAGCACCAGGCCCGCATGCCTCCCAGCCACCGGCAGTGTTCCTCAGCCACTTTCGGCCTGCCCTGCCCCTCCTCCAGGACGGCCCAGGTATCCCCTCTTCCAGGAAGCCCCCATTGACGGTTCCGGGGGTGGTGGTTCCTTTGTGTCCTTGGATGTCCCTGTCGGTCTGGCTGCAGCAGGGAGCTCAGTGCTGGAGCTACCAGGCCTGGCTCAGCCCTGGCGCTGACCGTGTAGTCCATGGGGGAGGTTGTCTTGGCCGCACGGCTGTTCTCGCCCTTGGCCGTCGGCCTCTCTTAGGGCCCACAGTGTCGGAGAGCTGTGGCTGCGGGTCCGGCATCCCCACCTTGGCCGATGCACCCTGCTGGCGCCGGTGCTGGCTGGAGGACTCGAACCCACACCCTGCCAGCAAGAAGAACTTTCCCACCAGCTCCTGGGCCCAAGTCAGTGCCGCCCTTTCTGTATTTTGTCACCCCTCCCACCCCGGCCCCTGCCCACTCTCTTGCCCCATAGCTTCCCTTGTGACCTCTGGTGTCTGCTGACCTCCCCACACCGTACCCCCCGTGCCCTGCACTGCCAGGCAGGTCTTGGTGTGGGCAGGAGGCGGTGCGCTTACAAATGCTGGCTCGGGGGCCCCAGGCCTTCCTCCCTGCCCTGGCCCTGGTCCCGCTTCCCGCCGCCGCCGCACGTAACCAAAGGTACTGGAGGTACTGAGGCTGGGGTCTCCTGAGCCTCAGGCCCTGCCCTGGTCCCTCCTCCGCCGCCCACAGAGGCTCCCTAAGCCAGAACCCTAGGTTAGCAGGCTCCCCTTCCCCCAGAGCTGCCGCCCCTGTCCTATCAAGTCCCAGCACTCAGCCTGGCCTCTACGGTCTTCTCTGGGCCCTCTCTGTCCCTCTTCCTGATGCAGCCCTTGGGAGAGTTGGGGCCACGGGCTGCCACGGCTGGAACCTCGCCAACTGACCTGCATAAAGTGGGGCCTGATTCCCGGACTGAGTCTAGGGGTAGAATGTGCCCGCCTTCAGGCACAGCTGGCTCCGGGGGCGCAGACTGTTTGGTTTGGGGCCGCTCAGAACAGGTTTGCGCCCCGCCCCGGCTCTACGCAGCCAGGGGCCTCCCGCTCAGGAACTCGGCTCGAATCTCTTGCGCCTGGTGGGCTCAGAAGAGTTCCTGGGCCTCTTCCGTCCCGTCTCTGTGCTCAGGGCCCTGGCCGGGTCACACGGCCTTGAACCTTCTCCTGCACCCTGGAGAGGGGTCACGTTCCCTCTGCTCCCTCTGGCCAAGTTGGTCCAGCAGAGGAAACAGGAAAGGGGAGAGCAGGCTGTCAGCAGGGCCGGCCGAGGGCGGCCCCAGTGTGGTTGGTGGTTGTGTGTGTGTGTGTGTGTGCACCCAAGCACGCACGCACATGTGGGAGTTACATACCCATAGAGGCGGGGGGCAGGCGTCTGGGTCACGGCCCCGCTCCCCGCACTCACCTTCCTTCTGCAGATCTGCCCTAGTCTGAGTCCCTCACTGAGGTCTCTAATCCCAGCTGGGACCTCACTCCCCAGGGACCCTGAAGGTGGGGGGGGGGGGGAGAACAGAGTGTGCCTCCTTTCCGGCTAGGTGGTAGGGTTCCGGAAAGACCTCAAGCCTGCAACCTCGGTGGGCAGGGCTGTCTCTAGCTAGGAGCTTGTTGGGGTGACTTCCCTGCCCCAGAGGTACCCTTCTTCCTGACACCCTCCAACCTGGGGACGTCAGCTCTCCATTTAACAATCTGGAGCACTGTTTATTGCCTCTCTACACAGTCATCAGCTGAGAAAATGTTTGTTGAACGAGTAACTTCACGCTCTCCTTGAGGAGGGTGTCTGCTCTCCAGTGTGCCGGCACCCCTCCCCCAGCTGGCCACGGCGCTTTGGAGGCCACCCTTCCCCCTGTGCCTTGTGGGGGCTGACCCTCCCTCTCTTCTGGGGCACCTGCCCTGGTCACGTGGACAATCTGACTCAGCTCTGGTGAGACCTGTAAAGAGGGGAACCTACATCTTGGGGGGTCACGAAGGCCAAAGCCACCCCAGAAACTGGTAGCACGGTCCTGTCACGTGTGCGGGGCTCGGTGCCCAGGGGCTCCGCTCTGGCTAACGTGGGGACAGACCTGGCCCGGGCCTGGACGTGGGGCTTGGGCATGTCCGCCGGGACCCCCGAGACTCCGGGGCCTCCAGGGAGTTGCCGTGCGAAGTGCACACGGGCGCCGAGGCACAGTTAGGATTCCGGACCACTGAACACCTGTACAATAGTTCATATATTTATTCTTAAGCAAGTTATCAATAAAAAATTTAATACTAAAATGCCTTTACATAGAGTTTGCTGTTCATAAAACCTTTGTGTTTTGTTTTTTTTGTTTGTTTGTTTTTAGTGTTTACATTGGAAAAAAAAAAAATCCAACCATCTTAGTTTACACATTTACAATAGTCGTGCTTCGCCAGGTCTAACCACGGTTAGAAGGAGGGCCGCACCGCCCACACGCACAGATAGAGGGAGAGAGAAGAAGAGAAGGCGGGGGAGGAGGGCAGAGAATCGACACGAGGGCCAAGAAAAAGGGTTTCCTTCGCTCGGTGCCTGGGGTTTGAACTTTTGCGGCTGGGCTGTCCCCACTCGGCGCCCTGGCACCGGGCAGGTCTTCTCCTCCGGGCAGCCTTCTGCTTCTCCAGCCGCGAGCAGGCCCTCGGGCACCGCCTCCCGGGTGACCGCCAGGAATGAAATATTGCACTCGTGCGGAGACAAAGGGGAGAATGGGGTGGGAGAGGTAGGCCGGGGCGCAGGGGAGCCCCCCCCCCCCCGCCCCTGCATTTCCCACGGAGCCAGGAGTGGGAGGTGGGGCCGGGATGGTTTCCTGGCTGAAAAGGAAGGGGGCGGAGAGGGGCCGGGTTGGGGTGCCGGGCACCTGCCGACACCCCATGTTTCCCGGGGACCTGGGCTGCAGGTCTGTGGTCACACAAAAACTCGTCCTAAGGAACAGTGACTAACGTGGGGGGCTTTCCTGGGGCTCCCAGTGGGTGTGGTGGCACATGAGGACATGTGGCCCTCAGTACGTTTCAGGGACAAGGGTGGTTGGGCCGCGTCTGGCTTGCCCTGTCTCTCTCTTGGCCACGGGAGAAGTGAAGAGGTGACAAGTGTTCTGAGGCTCCTGGGGTGGCGCCGAGAGTCTGGGCCACCCGTCCAGCACTGGGTGGAGGGGTGAGCGCCCCGGAGGGGTGCTCCCTGCACTTGGCTAGGGTGTGGGCTCGGGCGGGCAGGAGGGACCCCTGCTCGCTCCGCACCCCAGGCACCAACTGGTCATGCTGTCTGCCTTCCCGGTGGCCACAGAGAAGGCCCAGAAACCTCCATGTAAGTTGGTGGGGGCCAATCCCGTCCCTGCTCTGAGTGGAGGCTAGGCAAATTGGCCATCAAAACGGAAATCAGAAAGAACTTGGAATATTCAGGAAATAAAACGAAAACATCACTTTTTCGTATCGATACTTAAAAATATTTGTTCATTTTTGTTTCGTTTTTAACAGAGGTAAGATACATTTATGGCTGCTGTCACGATCCCGGGCTGGGGGACCCGCTGATCCTGATTTTTATCTCAGCTTCTGGAATCCCTTCTCTCCCCAGGGACCCTCACCATCGCCCTCCTCCCCTCCCCCGCCCCCCAATACGGTCTTCCTAGGAGGTGGATTAAAAGGAAATAAAGTCGAGTGTGACTTCCATCTCCGCCCCCGAGATGGGTGGTGTACCCGAGGGTCCCCCTCCTGTGGCCGCCCCCACCCTCAGCTGCCTCTGTCGCCACAGACGCCCCTGTCGGAGCTCAGCCAGGCTGAGCAAAACAGTGCATTTTCAACGAAAACCCCCCAGAACAAAGCCTAGACACACACCCACACACACACGCACACGCACACACACACATGCACATACACCCTTGTCACGCGTGTGGGGAAAAAAATCCTTTTCCGCTATTTTTTTCCATAAAACTTCCCGCAGAAATACAATATTTACATAGAGAAATAAATAGACAACACACCTGATTTCTGCTTTCCCTGGTGGGAGACAGTCGGAGGTACTAGGGAAAATATGGCTTGGATTCTAATCTCTCGGGAACGGCCGATGGGGATCCGGGGCGCCGGCTGGGCCGGCCCAGGCTGGACGACTCTCCGGACGGGACGGGCCGCACGCGGGAGCGCCCGCTCGCCAGGGACAGTGATGCGAAGCCGGCGCCCGCCGCGGGGTCGGGGGGTTGCATATTTGCTCCTGGCTGCGGCGTTGGGGGGGGGGGCTCCCCGGCTCTGCCCACGCAGCCGGGCTCAACACAGGATGGGCGCCCCGTCGGCTGCCACCAGCCGGCCTGTGGTGGGGTCATAGGTGCCCGCCAGGTAGTAGAGGTCCCGCCGGTCCTGGTCCTGGCACTTCCGGCTCCGTGTCATTTGCTCGTACTGCTCCCGCCCCACGACCTGGCACTTGTGGGAGATGGTCTGCACGTCGTTCTCGTCCTCGTGGCAGGACTGGTACAGCGCGTTCTGGGGGGGAAGGGGGGGCGGGCAGGAGCGCTGGGACCGAGGCCTCGCGCCCCCAGGGGAGGGCTGCTCGGTCAGCCTGTGGACCGTGCCCACCGCCTGCAAACCTGGGCTCCTGCACACCAGAGGGCGGTGGGGGTGTGTTCCGCCTGGAAGTACGGGCCGTGGGGGGGCTGCGTGCCCCCCACGGTGAAACTACCACCCCTTTCACAGGGAGCCATGGAGGCCAGGGAGGGACCCTGTGTCGTTTCCTGTGAGGCCCGGTGGTGGCCCTGGGCTGGGAGGCCCCGCGGTGTCGGGGACGGGGTGGGGGTGTTCACGAATGAGACCACTCCTCCCATTTTGGCTGCCACCGCCCCCCCCCCCACCTGGTCTCCATTCCCCCAGGCCCCTGCATGTCCCCCACCTGTCCTGGGCCCCCTTCAGGCTGCCCTGTTGCCCAGTCCTCCCAAGCTCCCCACTTGCCCCAGGGCCCCCCACAGGCTCCCCACCTGCCCTGAGCTCTCCTGCCCCAGGGCCCTACAGGGCACTGCCCCCTCCCCCATTCTCTCACCTTCCCGTCACTCTGCCGCTTCCCCAGCTTCGTCTCCTCCGGGTGGTAGAACCACTTGACCTTCACCACCATGTTACTGCCCCAGGACTCCCACATGCTCTCAATGCGGCCGATGTAGGGCAGGTTGGGCCGCCCGGCCGACAGGAAGACGGCACAGTCCCCGATGCGCAGCGTCTCCTTGCCCCGGACGATGGCCTTGTAGAACAGCTTCCTGGCTTTCCCCTTCATGCCCCGCCTCTGCAGGGACACAACCAGAGGCCGAGGGCAATGAGGGGGCCCAGGCGGCAGCCAGGACAGAATGACGGGGACACACACACAAGGGGAGGGAATACGCAGGAGGGACAGACGGCACGTCGTGTGTGCAAGCGTGTGTGCACGGGCACCCCAGGTCCACGCGGGGCACTGTGGCGGCTGGAGGAAGGCCAGCACAGCCAGAGGTCCAGGACGAGGTGGCCACACCCAGACCTACCCTGCCCACCGGTCAGGATGTCAAGATCCAAACTGACTATAAAGAACAGTGGACCTGGGGCAGGGTGGGGTGGGGAGAGAGCACGAGGCGTCCGGTGCACACACGTTTGCAAGGACAAAACGCCCCGGAAAACCGAACGTCCACACGTGGAGTGTCGGCAAAGAACAACGTTCGCGTCCATGCAATGAGGTGCTCGAGGTGCTCAAAACGCGCAGAGCTGCCTGTGTTGTTTACGGACAAGGAAAGACGCGCAACCTAGTGGACCTGCCGCTGGAGAAACAAAACACAGGCTGGGGCGCCTGGGGGGGCTCAGTCGGCTGGGCGTCCGACTTCTGCTCAGGTCATGATCTCACGGTTCGTGGGTTTGAGCCCCGCGTCAGGCTCGGTGCCGACAGCTCGGGGCCTGGAGCCTGCTTCGGATTCTGTGTCTCCCTCTCTCTCTGCCCCTCCCCTGCTTGCTGTCTCTCTCTCTCTCTCAAAGATAAACATTAAAAACAACAATAACAAAAACAGGCTGTCTGCCCCAGTGCAAACATCCTGTACACGATCTTACAGGCAGAGACAAAGACTTGGAGGGGACATAGTGGCCGTGGTCATCTGCCTTGTCCCATCAGGTGGCAAGGTTTTCTCTTTCCTCGTTTTCCTTTGATTTTCTTTCTTTCTTTTTGTTTGGTCGACATTAAATAGGACAACCCAAAGAAAGAAGCGAGAGAGGGAGCAGGCCGGCCTCCTGGGCACCAGGGGCTCCTCGCGGCCCTCCCCCTCCCCCTCCCTCCCGGGCTGGGAGACGGGCCCACCTACCTGCGTGGGGTTCCCCGACCACTTCCAGAGCTGCCGGGCAGGCAGGAAGGCTGAGATCTTTGGCCGGTTTTCCACGGAGGGCAGCCGCTGCCTCCGGGAAAGCTCTTTGGCTTTGGAGAAGCTCAGGGCCTCCTTGCGCTTGAGCTTGGACTTGCCGCCGCTCGGGCCGGTGCCCGCGCCCCCGCCGGCCACCGCGGCCCTGGACAGGAAGCAGCGCTGCGCATGCGCGTGCGCGTGGGGCCCGCCCCCCTTGGAGCGCAAGGCCTCGGGCTGGGCCAGGAGGGCGGGCACGGGGTGGGTGAGGCAGGTCTGCAGGAGCAGCGCCGGGTCCTCGTCGTCCGAGCTGTAGGACGAGCCCTCGTCGTCCGAGGAGCAGAGGCTGGAGGTGGACAGGGAGCCCGAGGAGGAGGAGGTGGTGGAGCCTGAGGAGGAGGACGACACGGACAGGCGGGCGAGGAAGCGGGAGGGCACGCCGGGGGCCAGCCCGGGCCCGTCCTCCTCGTCGTCCGAGTAGGAGCTGTGACAGTCGCTGTCGCAAGGCAGCGGGAACTCCGCCTGGCCCGCGAACTTGCGCAGCGCCAGCCCCATGGGCAGCGGGTGCACGGGCGCCCGCCCCTTCCTGTCCTTGCCCACGAGGGCCGGGTGCGCGTAGCTGGGGCTGGGCAGGGGCCGCCCCAGCTTGGGCCCGAGGTCCTTGTCACCCATGAGCAGCGCCTTGCAGTTCTTGTTCTTGGGGGAGGTCACGCCCTCGTGGTCCAGCTTGACCAGGAACTCGCCGCCCGCCCGCCGCCGCGCGCCCTTCTCGGCCTCTGCCCGCTCGGCCTTCTTGGCCCGCAGCAGCTTGTGGGCGCCCCCGGGCAGGCCCGGCCCGGCCCCGCCGACGAAGGGCGCGTACGAGCTGGCCAGGCTGCTGAAGGAGTCGGCCCGGAAACCGTTGCCGAACACGGGCGCGGCCACGCTGTGCACCGGGAACAGCGCCTCCCGGGCCCGCAGCTTCTTCGCGCTGCCGTTGAGCTGGAAGAGATTCTGCAGCACGCCGGGCCCCTTGCCGCCCGCCGCGGCCGCCGCCGCCTTCCGCTTTGTCTGCGCCACCGCCGACCAGCTCAGCAGCGGGCTGCCCCGGCGGCCCAGGAAGTGGTCCGAGGCCCCGGCGGCGGGGGCGGCGGGCGGGGGCTTGGCGCCTGAGGTCAGGAGCTCCGCTTTGCCTGGGGGGAGGCCGGGTAGAGTCAGGCCCCCCCTCCCCCCCCCGGCTCCACCCTCCCCCTCCCCGTGCCTCCCGGTCCCCCACACCCGGAGGGGGACCCCCACGCCAGGGTTCTGGGTGGTCCCACGAGTACCAGCTTTGTCTTTGCCGACGGATTTCTTCCCCGGGGGCTTGGAGGCTTCGGGGCCTTCGTGCGCCTTGGGAGACAGGCTGGGGGCGGGGGTCTCGCCGGGGGGAGGGGCCTCGAAGGAGGCTTTCTTGGTCCTCCGGCAGCTGCCGGACACCAGCAGGGCGGGCGAGGGCTCGGTGCCTGCGGAGCGGACGCGCGGCCTCAGCGCTGGGCCTCCAGACCCGGGCGCTGGCTCCGCAGGGAGGCCCCACCCCCGCGGCCCCGGCACTCACACTGGATTTTGAAGTCCGGAGGTAGCAGCCTGATGTTGGAGACGGCGATGTGGCCGGTGTCCCCGTCATCAAACTCCACGACCACGGAGTCCAGGTCCCCTTCCTCGTCACTGCAGGCACCTGGGGAGGAGGGCCCCGTCACGGTCGACCTTGGCGCTGCCCCAGCAGCCAGGAAACAGACGCCCCCCCCCCCCCCCCCCCACCTCGCCGCCTCCCGCCGCCCGGCCTGAGCGGCCACAGCACCACCATCCAGCACCCCAGCCTGGGGCACTGCCCGCTCGCTCACCCACCTGCCCGCCCCCGGGGGCTCCACATCCCCTGCCTGGATGGGGGTCTGCTGGCGGCCTCGTGGGGAATTCGGGGGGCTTACCTCGGACCACGTTGCCTGGATACAGGCAACGTGACTTCTGGCTCCAGTAGGCACAGACCCTCGTGCCGGGTGGGAGGTAGCGGCTGGACTGTGGCCGGACATCCAGCACCTGGAGGACCGGTTGGGGGGGGGGTGTGAGTGGGTGGGGGAGGGGCTGCGGGGGAGGGGGCCCAGGAGGGGCAGGTGCAGCCAGGCCCACCTCCCCGGGGCGGCAGGTCCAATGGGGGCCGTCCCCTCACCGCCTCCTGCAGCAGCTGCTCCAGCGAGTAGATCCTCTGCCTGTTGCCTCTCTCGCCCTCGATGACGATGCTGTAGCTGAGGGGCGAGGGGGGCGTGGAGCGTGAGAGGGGCCTGCCGGCCGCGTCGCCCACCCTGGCCCAGGCCCGCCGCCCTCCCTCCCCGCACCCGGGCCTCACATGTCGGGGGGCTGCAGGGTCCTGACGCTGCCCGCGTACAGCAGACTGTCCTCCTTGGGAATGAGTACGGGCAGCCCGTCCTGCAGATCCTCCTTGTGGATGGTGCACGAGCCAGCTGAGGGGACAGGCTGTCAGCGCCGGCCCCGCCCCCACCCCCGGGGCTGCCTCCCGGCCACTCACCCAGGGCGGCGCTCTGCTCCGCGCTCAGAGGACCGCTGGCCCCAGCCGGCTCTTCCTCCACTTCGTCCTCCTCCTCTTCCTCCTCCTCCTCCTCAAAGCTGCCGTTGTCGTCAAACGCAAAGTCGTCTTCCACAGCAAAGCTCTCCAGCAGCCGACTCACTGCCCGGCCCTTGCCCTGGGGGGCCAGAGGGGTCAACTCCCTCTGGAGGTGGGGGCGGGAGAGGTCTGCAACCCCGACTGGGCGCCCGGGGGGTGGGGACGCTACCTGCTTGCCGACAGCCTTGCTTTTCACCTTGCCCACCTTCCTGCCCTTCCCCAGGATGGCCTTGGCGTTGCGTGGCGACAGGGCGATGGACAGGGCCCCGTTCTTCCGCTGTTCGGGGCGGGAGGGAAGGAACCGCGGTGAGGGGGGCCCCGGCCTCCCTGCTCCCAGCCACTGCCGGGCGTGGTGCAGGCTGACCCGGAGTGTGAGTTCAGGGGCGCGGGGCAGGATCACCCCCGGGCGGGCCACATGAGCGGGCAAGGGGGACAGGGTGGGAGCTCCTTCTGTATCTGACGCCCGCCCGCGGAGCCCAGGCCGGCCGGGGTGCCCCGTAGCAGGGGTGCCCACAGAGCCTACCCGCAGTCCCGGCTGGAGGATTGTGCTCTTGCGTGTGGCCCTCTTGAGGCGCTCGCTGGCCAGCTTGCTGCCCTCCTCACGGCAGGTGAAGGCGCGGGCGGGGCTGAAGAGGGTGTCCCTGCTGGGGGTGGTCCCTGGCTCCGCCCGCAGGCCACCTTTGGCCTTGCCCTTGGCTTTCTTTTTGCCTGGTGCGCCTGGGGGCCTGCGTCCTGGGGCCCGCTCCAGCTTGGTGCCCACCTTGGCCTTCACCGTGCGCCTCTTGACCTTGACCTCGCTCTCTGGGCTGGACAGGCGGCAGGCCCCTGTGCGGGGAGAGGGCGGCCGTCACAGGCGTCCCGGGTGCTGGGCCCCCAGCCGCCAGGCTGGCCCCAGCCCGCCCTGGCCTCCTCGTTACCTAGTAAGCCCTGCCTCTCCTTCTTCTTCTTGGCCTTCTGGTTGGCCTCCATCTTGACCACGGAAGAGGGTGAGGGCCCCAGCACGGCCACACTGGCTCCCCCATGCAGCGCCAGCCCGGGCTCCTTGGGGGGTGCCTCTGTCGCCAAGAAATCTATGCCGTTCTCGCTGTCATAGCCGGCGCCTGGGGAAGGCAGAGCGCCCAGATGACTTGGTGTCACAGCCACGCCATTTTGGGGGCGGGGGATCTGTTCACCTGCGTGCACGTGGATGGGCCGGGGGGCAGGGGTGGGGAGGGACAGGCACCTGGGCCGGCCTCCTGCTGAGGGTGTGTGGACGAGCATGGGTTAGGGGAGGAGCCCCTCTCTGACCTTCCTTTCCCTGTCTCTATTTTCCTTTCTTACGCCCTGGGCAGTGGGGCGCCAGCCCGCGGGCCTGGGGATCCCCCTCCTCAGGGCAGCTCCGGCCCCTTACTGCCCTCCTGCTTCCTGCTTCCTCTCGCCCTCCCTTTGTTCTCAGGCGCGAGCTGGGTGCAGGCGGGGCGAGGCCTGGTGGGGAGGAAGCACCTAGTTCTCCAGGCTCCTGTCTCTGGACACGTGTGCCTGCTGGAGGCCAGATAACCCCTCCAGATCAGCCTGCAGGAAAGCCGCCTCGAGCCGGCAGAGGGGCTATTTTTAGCCCCCTTTCCGGGATGTATCCAGAGGCCTCTTTCTTTCCCGTGGCTCTCGTGGCCCCACAGGGAGCCGCAGGGCAGGGTCTCCTTCCCTGGCTGCCCCAGCGGGGAGGCTGTCCCCGGGTCCCCCACACTCCACAGGCCGCCACCTGGCTCTGATGGCCGTCTGGGCCCGGCGGTCCCGGCTGCGGCCCTCGGACCCACTCGCCTGCCTCGTGTGCCGGGGCCACCGCCGACTGGGCCGGGAACTTGGGCGTCTCCCTGCTGCCGCCACCGCCATCCGGCTGCGTGTGCCGGGCGGCCCCCGGCACCTTGGTGCTCTTGGCTCTGGACAGCTTCTTCCGGATGCGTCCCCCTGGGGCGGCCTCCTTCCGCCTGAAGGGGCTGAGGCCGGCAGGCAGCCCCTTGCTCTTCACTTTCGGCTTCAGCTGGGCCACCTTGTGGGCCATGGCAGACGCCAGCTCGCCCTGACCGCTGCTTCTCTTGCACCGGACCTTTTCCTGTGAACGGGAAGGCGGTGGCTGCGCTCAGCCCTGCGGCCTTCAGCCTGCCCTCTGCCAGCGCCGGCTCACAAGTGGCACTTCCTCGGCCCCCGTCCTCTGAAGCGGCCCAGGGGGCACGGGGCTTGGCCACTGGAGCCCAGCACCCCGATCCCCCGCTCCACGGCACCTCCCAGACCGCCCACCCTACTTGAGCTTGGGGGACGGACGTCGAGGGCCCGGGTGTCTGTTCTGGGAGGGCGGGGCAAGGTGACGACACGCTCAGGTGGGGTGACAGCTGCCTCCAGGCCACCCACTGCACACGGGGTGCACCTGACACTGGGTTCACTGCTGAAGGCTCCGTGACCTATAACACCGTGCGTTTTTTCTTTCTGCTGGAGTGAGCATCGCCAGCCCCAGTCACACCTGCGGGCCCAGGGCCGGCCTCTGCCGTGAGGCTCACCGAGCCCCAGAGCCCAGGGCGAGGCCGCTGCAGTGCTCACCGCAGAGGCCGGCTGCAGGCCCACGTAGACGCTGCTCTCCAGTCGGCTTTGCTTCCTCGCAGGCTCCTCGCCACCCCGCAGCTCAGCGCACAGCAGGCTCAGGCTGGACCGCACCGCCCTGGGGGCATGGGGGCGCAGGTGGGCATGGGCCAGCTGCAGGCACGCCTCGGCACCCTGGCCCCGTCCTCGCTCTGCCCTTTCCCGAGTGAGGCTGCGCTCCTGTGCCGGGCTCCTTGGAGCACGCGCCGTGCTGCCAGGCGGCCCGGAGGCCGAGCCAGTGCTGAGCCCCAGCCGCCTGCCTGCCGGCCGGTCCTCTCGCTGACCGGGGAGGGGCGGCCTAAAGCTCAGGGGCCAGGGCTCTGTGGCCAGCTGGACCACTGTGTGTCCCAGCTGTGGCCTCAGTCTTCACACCTGGGAAACAGGGACGGGAACTATTACGGCTCTCTGCAAGGGTGGGGGAGGTCGGTCCTGGTCCCAGGACTGGCCCTTGTTGAGTGCCAAGGCCAGCGGCCACCACGGTTTGGAACAAGGACGGTGTTAGAGAGGCTCCTGAGAATGGGGTCCCCTGCTTCCCTCTCCGCCACTGCCAGAAAGAGGTCGGGGCACAGTGGCCAGAGACACTCCTGTCCGGGGTCTGCCTCCCAGCCTCCTGGGACCCTGACTGCTGGGCTCAGACACCTGCTTTTAATCCCAGTTCTTGAGGGAGGGGAGCCTGAACCCCAGCACCCACATCCCGGGGGGGGGGGGGGCGCTGGGAGTCTACTGACACCAAGTCTCGGTTTCCCCATGTCCCACAGGTGTGGGTGGGGCTGGGCCTGTCACCTGCCCCCTCCCCCACTCACATGGTGTTAATGAAAATGAGTCACAGACGGAGCCCGAGAACCCTGGCTTTGTGGGGACAGACATCACCTTTCACCTTCCCGCCCAGAGAGGGGACCAGGCAGGAAGCCGGCTGTGCAGTGAGGCTGCCCCCACCCCCCACCCCCCCACCCTTCCACTTCCTGCCTGGTCCCAGCTGTTGGCAACCACCGCAGGGCACGGCCCGCAGCGGGGGAGAGCCTGGGATTCAGGAGGGAGCCGGATCCTTGAGGAGGGAGGGCCCTGGACTGTGCGTCCTTCCTTGTCCCGAGGCTGCTACCCTCCAGCCAGGGCCGGGCTTCGTGGGTCGGTGGAGGAAGTGTTGTAATGCCAAGTACCAGGCCGGGGTTTCCGGGGCCGGGGGCCTGAGGGCAGCTCGGGGCAGCCTCGCCAGGACTCCCTGACGCAGCCACTGGCCAGACTCTGGCCTCGGTGGGCCCTACCTTGGCCAGAGGCCCCGACAGCGCTGGCTGGTTCTCAAAGGGAGAGCCTGGGAGTCCCCTGGCTGGGGACACCTGGGCAGTGGGGGGAGGGGCAGCTCGGGGAGACGCCCCCCCCCCCCCCAGCCATATGGCCTATCCCCGCCACCGCCCACAGGCGATGCGAACCCCCCTCCCTGTAACCTTCTCTGCATTTGCTAATGTTTTGTGACATAAAGCCCTGAGATTAATTTTTTGCCTCTGTCTTAATTGAAGGAACCATTTAGTGCCGATTTAACTATTATTACCAAATCATCAGGATTGATGCAGCGCGCACGCAGGCTCGCCAATCGCGTTTGGAGCAGCTCGTTGGATTTATGCAAATAGGTCTGCCGGGAGAGGCAATTTGTAGCCGGGAAGGACAATTATGCCCGGCCCGGGAGCGTGCCAACGAGTGCGCCGGGCGGGTAATGGATAATAACACTGCGCCGACAGCGTGCGCAGCACCGCAGCGTGACCAACGGCGTTACACGGTGCAGACAGAGAGGCTTTTCCGCAACGCCGCCTGGCACCCGAGGGGGCCGGGCGCGGGCAGGGGTGATGCCACGGCCAGGTGTGTGGACCTGGTGTGGCCATGCGCCGGGCCCAGCGTGGGGCAGAGGGAAGGGGAGAGGTCTGCAGCGGGTTCTGTCCGTGGCTACAGCTCTGGGAGAGGGGAGCTGGGTCCTCACGGGAGCTTGAAGGGGGGGGGGGGGGCAGCAGCGTGCGGACAGGGGCGGCGAGGGCACCCTGGGCCCACCCCAGCCCCGCCACACGCACCCCCAGCCCGGGGCACCCCACGGCGGCCCACGCACCGGGACTTACTTGACTTTCTTGCCGTCGCCCCTGGGGAGCTGGCCCCCAGGACGCAGGGCGGGCAGCAAGCTGGGGTACTTGCGCTTCCTCGGCCGGCCGGGCCCCCGCCTCGCGGGGCTGCGTGAGCTCTCCTCTCTCCTGCAGGCCACGGGGGTGGGGGGTGCTCAGAGGCTTGCACCCACCCTGGCCCTCCTGACAGGGGTTCAGCAGAGGGCACTGGCCTTGGAGGGCCGCAGGGGCAGGGCAGGCCCCCCCCGACACTCGGGGAGCTGGGCCCTCACATGGCCCAACGCGCCAGCCTTCCTCCCACGGCCTCCGGGGGCCATCCCGGACGCCAGCCTCCAGCCCAGCTCAGCCCGGGCGTGCGTGGGGTGGCTCCCTGGCCCCGAGGTAGTGGTCCCGGGCCCGCACAGCGGGGGGGGCCCCCCCACCCGGCCCCTGCCGCGCACGCCCCGCCCGGCTGCCGCCCGGGGCCCTACTCGTGGTCGTGTCTGCGCTGGAGGCGAGCCAGCTCCCGCTGCTTCTCCTTGTAGCGCCGCTGCAGCTCTGCCAGCTGGACGCGCATCTCCACCTCCTGCGTGTCCAGCCGGTCGATGGCGGCCTTCAGGGGGCAGACCTGGCGGGCAGGGGCGCAGGGGCCTGTGAGCCCAGGCGGGGCCCCGCGGCGGGGGCGGCCGGCGTGGGGGCTCGGGGTGCCCCTTGGGTTGTTGCGCCGGGGGCGACCGGGCCCCCCCTTCCCCCCACTCACAGGCTTGGTCTTGGGGGTCCAGGTGTCCTTCCGTTGCAGAATCTGCATGCGGGGGGTGAGTGTGGGAGCCCTGCAGGGGTCGGCGGCGGGGGGCTGGGCAGAGGAGGAGGGGCTGTCCAGGCTAGCGGCCTCCGCCAGGGACCAGGCTGAGGCCAGCGTGGCCAGGCGCTGCAGGTCGAATGCCAGCACGTCCTTTTCCTCTGCGGGGGACACGAGGGTCAGTGTGTGTGCGGCAGGCGGGCACGTACCGCCCCTCACAGGGTCTCTTGTCCGCCTGACCCTCCAGGCTGCCCGGCTCCCCCAGCCACGAGGACCAAGGACCAGGGTGAGGTGGTGGGAAACAGCGAGATGGGCACAGGGTCAGGCACCGAGCACCCTGCCTCAGCTCCGGGGAGAGGAGGAGTCCCCCCTGGCTACTGTGGGCCAGGCCAGTTGGGGAAGCGCCCAATCCGTCCGATAGAGGCTCGTGGCTTATTCGGCCTCAACAGAAGGCGCCTGTGCGTTTCCTGCCCCTCCCAGATTCATGAAGAGTGGGGTGAGAGGAACGGCCCAGTGCAGGGTCCGAGCTGAGCCAGTGGAGGGCAGCGTCCATCCAGGGGTGAGGCCTGGAGCGGAGACTCGGGACGGGGCAGGGTGGCGGCGGAGGTGGGGAGTCGGGTCCCCGTGGGCAGGCTGTTCCCACGAGGAGCCACAGCCGGGGAAGGGGGGGGGGCCCGGCCGGGGGGAGCCCTGCGGGGTCAGACGGCTGCTGGGGCTAAAGCCGTCCACGGGCAGTTGTGCTTTTCAGGACCTACAGGACATACAGCTCCTCCGAGGTGGCCGGGGAGCAGCGATACCCCAGGGGCAATGAGCACATCTAACACCCTGAGCGTGGCTTCTAATTCCACGTCCCAGGAAAGGAGCCTGGCTCCTGGGAGAAATGGCTGTTTCCAGGGGCGGGGGCGGTGTGTGGTCAGCCAGGAACACAGGAGGTGCTCAGAAGGTGAGGGGGACACGGCGGCGGGCACATGGGCCAGCTGCAGGGGCCGAATCTGACACAGCTCCAATCCTCCGGTTAAATAGTGAGAGTGCAGATTACGACCGACCAATCAGCGAGTCACCCTGCCACAAACAGGTAAAGTGCACGGAGAGAACGCGTGAAGAGGCAGGGGGAACTGCTTCGAAGCACCTCCCTGCGAAATACTCGTTAACCGCAAAGGGGGGACGCGGCCATCAGGGTGGGACAAGGCGGCGAGGCGGGTGCCAGGAGCTGAAACTTCTGGACGCCGGTTCTGAGCTGAGGCCACAGGGAGGCCGTGTTGGGTGGCCCCGGAGCGGGAGGCTAAGGGGCTCTCTCCTCCTAGGGCGTGGGCTGCTCTTCCCTCTAGAAGCCAGGGCAGGGCTGTCCGGAAGCCCTACTTCAGCGACAAGTCCCACACAGTGTCCTATCTGTTGGGGTCACTGTGGTCACCAGGAAGCTCCTTTGCTCCCCTGCCCGGCCGGCCCGGCCCCGGTCCTCAGGCTGAGCCTGCTGAGCCGGTACAATCGCGTGGGTGAGCCTGGGGGGGGGGGGGGGGGGGGGGGGGGGGGGGGAGACGAGGTGGGGAGGGCTTTTCTTGGCTTCAGACAACACCCTGCAAAGCTCTGCAGCCCTGGGGGCTGTGGAGAGAGAGAGAGAGACAGCCCCACCCCATGCCCTGGGGTGTCTCTAACTCCTGTCCCTGGAAGGGCCTGGGGCCAGGCTACCCAGACAAGCCGCAGCTTTGCAGACCTGGATCTCAGGCTCACTCAGGAAAAAAAGGGGCATCCACACTCGGGGACGAACAGGGCCTGGGCTCCCCAAACATCCAGGGTGGAAGGGAGGCTCAGGTGGCTCTCCAAGGGCGGGATGTTCTGGTGTCTCAGAGCTGGGCTCCTGGGTACAGACCTCCCATCCAAGACCAGGCAGACACAGGGTCTGACTCCCCGCCCTTCTCCCACCCCAGGGCTCAGTCTGGGGCTCAAGTCCCTGCATCTGGTGTGGAGGTCTGAGGACCAGGCAGTGCCCCCACTGAGCCCCCCGCCCCCAACTTGAGCCCAGGTGGGGGCAGGCCAAGGGTCCTGCAGCTGAGGTCTTCTGGGTGGGGCTGAGGGGCTCTGAGCACCCAGGTCAGTGAGGTTGCCCTTGAGCAAACGGCCTGGGGTTTGAACTCCTGCCCCACCACAACTCGGCTGCAAACCTGCCAACCTCCTCGTCCCTGCTTCCCAGGGGCCTTCCACCAAATCCCGTGCCCGGCCTGGAGGGGGTTCAGGGGGTCCCTTCTGGGGAGGAAGGGACAGGAGGCTCTGCTGTCCCTCGGGACCCCTGCTTCTGGGACATACTTCTCCCACTTTCTCCCTCTGTGAATCTTGCTGCTCATCTGAGATCACAGCCAATCTCCTAATTCATTTCAGGCAAGGCGGTCATTGTGCTCATAGGGAACAGCTCTGGATCTGAGAGTGCACAGACTGGCCAGTTAACTGGGACAGAGGACAGGATGGGGCCTGGGTGCTCCAAAAGGGGAGGGTGGAGGTCTGGGGGTTCCAGGAGGGGAGAGTGGGGGCCTGGGTGCTCCAAGAGGGGAGGGTGGGGGCCTGGTGGTTCCAGGAGGGGAGGGTGAGGGCCGGGGGGGTTCCAGGAGGGGAGGGTGGGGGCCTGAGTGCTCCAGGAGGGGAGGGTGGGGGTCTGGGAGTTCCAGGAAGGAAGGGTGGGGGCCTGAGTGCTCCAGGAGGGGAAGGTGGGGGCCTGCGGGTTCCAGGAGAGGAGGGTGAGGGCCTGGGGGCTCCAGGAGCGGCGGGTGGAGTGGCGACCTGGCCATGCATCTTCCTTGGTCCACACACCCCAGCGACTGAGGCGCCTGGCCTGGGCTGCAGTTGCAACGCCCACAGGGGATTCACGTGGTCTCCACGTGAGCGTTCTTTCAATGAATGGGCCGCAGTCCAGCAGGCATTCACATGCACAGACTGGGTGGCCACACACACTGGGCCCGGCATCCGCCCGGCACTTTCGTGCCAGCCACGCTCACGTGGTGGGTCTGGGCAGCCCGGCCCCGGCCCGGGGCTCCCCCCGTCACCCTACAGCCCGGAGCCCTAACTTAGGCCCTCCTGGGGTCCAGCTGGGAGTCCACGGTGGGTGCTCCCCAGCAAACTGCCCTCGGCACAGCGGTGGGCCCGTCTAGGTGGGCAGGAAGAGTGACACAGAGGCCTCTGGGGAAATTAACTTTACGAGAACATTTGCTTTATCTCCAAAGAGCACAAAAGGCGCCTGTGGCTGGCAGCAGAGCGCTTTATGCGTCAGGAAAACAAGTGGGCAAGCTGAGAGAACTCTGTTGGGCTCTGTCTATAAATATCAGCGCGCACGATGCCTGGCTGGGGGTGCTCCCGCGCGAGGGTTTCCTCAGGGGGCCCCTCTGGGGCGACTACCCCGGCTAGCCTGTGTGGGGTCCCCACGGGCTCCAGTCCAGGGCTCACCATGGGGTGGCACCAGGCCCTGTGCCCGCACCCTGGGGCCCCTCTGGGGCCGGGAGCCCAGAAGCATCTCAGCCTGCATTCCGCCCCGGGACAGGAAGGACCGGCACCCCGGCCCTGGTGACATTGCGGGGGACACGTGGTCAGTCTTGGACCACTTCCCCTGGGCCTGGGAGGCAACAGCCGGTGCGTCCTAAGCGAAGACCTGGCAGGCCTCGGGCCAGGAGCCACACAGGCTTTCCTCTGCCTTCCCGGAGGCAAGGCCCCAGTTCAGCCACCTCATCCCCCGAGGGTCTTGGCTTCCTCGTAATGTGACCGGGGGACAGCGTATGGGGACAACTGTAAGGCCCCCACGGGGCGCTGTGGACACTGCAACATACACGGGGCATGCTGACCCAGACTCTGTCCTTCTGAAACCACGGTCAGGGTGCAGTCCTGGCCCCGAGGGTCCAGCTTCCAGAGCGTTCACAGGGTGGTGCTTACCTCGCAAGGTGGGCTCCCTCCTTTGCTGCTGGATCTCCAGGTCGGCCAGCTCGCTGAGCAGGGCAATTCCATGAATCCCTGAGCTACAGGGCGAGGGGGCTGTGCGTGGGGGCCCAGGGGCAGCGGCAAGCTGTGGGTCCGGCGGGCTGACACCTGGCAGATCCCCCAGGTCGATGGTGGCGGCCACCAGGGCGTCCAGGCCCGGGAGTGCCCTGGGCAGGTGGCTGTTCTTGGAAGCTGGCCCCCGGCCCTCCTCCTCCTGCAGCTCGACCTCCTGATACTCAGCCCCCTCTTCCGGCTTTGCTTCCCTGGGGGCCTGCCAATTGCCCGGCCCGGCCTCACTGAGGGCACCTGGACTCTTCGGCTGCTGCGGGGCCGGGGCGCTGGCCCCCGATGAAGGCCCTGGCCCCACCTCCGTGCCCCTCTCCACCGCAGCCCCCTCCTCTGCAGCCCCTCCCTGAGTAGAATGAGCCTGGCCGATGGCCTCGGGGCCCCCTCCCTCGAGGAGGGCCCCACATCGCAGTTCTCGAAGCCCCTCCAGTGGGCTGAGGTCTGCTGCCTTCCCCAAGGGTCCCCGCTCGGCAGGGTGGGGGGTGGCGGCAAGGTCCTGGGTGGCCTCCCTGGCCCCCAAGGGCAACCCCGGCTCCTGTGGGCTCTGGGGGCTTCGGGGGGGGCAGCTCCCCGGGTAGTAACGTCCTCGCTGGCTCAGGCTGGACCCTGGGAGCTGCAGTTTGCATAGTTTTGGGGTCCGAGAGGTCAGGAGAGTGCACGCTGGGGGACAGGGAGAAGCCCGAGCTGGCCACAGGGCACGTGTATCCGGGAGGCAGGTCTGTGAAAGAGGGAGTGTTGTCAGGAGAGGGCAGCTGGGGGCACGGGTGGCCCTGTGCCAAGAGGGTGGCCTCAAATCCCCGACTGCCACCTGGGAGGGAGGGTCTCCAGCCTGCCCTCTGCCTTCGAAACAGGTGAGATGAGGACAGGGAACACGTTACACTGAGGGGGCACCTGAGGGCAGGAGAGGAGGTCCCTGGAGCCAGCGCCCCCAGCCCAGCCCGGGACGCTCTCCCTGGCCAGACGGCTGTGACCACCTCAGCTCCTGCCGTGGCCCCAGGGGTCCACAGGGGTGTGCAGGGGCCCTCTGGGGCACGGCGTGCTGTGGCTAACCAGAAGGGGGGTGGTTTAAAACAAGATACTTGGACCAGGCTTTCTCAGAACCAGAATGAGCCGGCAGCCTGTCGGAAGCATGCCCCATTAACTGCATTAAAAAAAAAAAAACAGGGGCGCCTGGGTGGCGCAGTCGGTTAAGCGTCCGACTTCAGCCAGGTCACGATCTCGCGGTCCGTGAGTTCCAGCCCCGCGTCGGGCTCTGGGCTGATGGCTCAGAGCCTGGGGCCTGTTTCTGATTCTGTGTCTCCCTCTCTCTCTGCCCCTCCCCCGTTCATGCTCTGTCTCTCTCTCCCAAAAATAAATAAACGT